GGGGGATACCCATGTTGATCGTATCCAACGCCCATTTCCACAAAAAGGAGCTTCATTGAAGAACTGGGAGCAGTAGCGGCGGCGGTCACCTGGGAAGGCTCGGCGGCGGCCATGGTTGTTGATGAATTCGAGGTGAAAGCGAAGAGAGAGCGGGTTGAACTGAACGTCAACGGAGAGGGGAGATGAGGACTGGCTTTTGAGAATGGATTTGGAAGGGGAGATTTGTGGGAGGGGAGGAAGACGAACGACTGCTTCATTTGGGGGTTGATTGAGCAAACGGATATCATCGTCTTCCTCGGTCCTCACGGTGGTGACGTGGTGTTAGGCCTTGTAACATTATTTTTTGATGGGAAATACTACCTCAGACTGTCTTTGTCCATTTTTTACTTTTGGAACTGTTAATCTAAGCACTTTGATTCATCAAATTTTTCTAATGTGTAAGCCTAAATATAGTCATGTGTGATCTTGTTTGATTTGTCTTAACATATAGATTATTAATATATAATTTTTATTCCGTATAATTTTTTAATATACAAATTACAAGATAAAATGGATTAAAGAAGTGCATTGGATGGCGTGCCAAAAGGTAAGTGGACAAAGACAGTGAGACGGAGGGAGTACTTTCACAAACACAATCATCACAAAATTCACAAACTTACTATTTACAAACTTTAATAAAAAAATTAAATAGTCTAAAATCATTTTAAAATGGAATTTAAACAAAAAATAGTAAGTTTGTGGAATTTGTGAGCATTTTGTTTGTGAACGTAACATTGTTCCTCTTCACTTGATCTGATTAGTTCTGATTTGATTGAAATAAATTTTAATATAATCTGGTCTGATTTGATCTGAATTCAGTTATATTTAAAGCTATTTCTGATATGATATGATATGATCTGGTCTGATTTGATCTGATTCCAATAAGAATAAGTAATAATTAAAAAAATAAGTTGGGGAGAAGTGGAGAACATGACCTTAGTCCCAAAAATTAACTAATTTTCAAGATAGTACTCGTTAATTGAAAATAACGCTCAGTTCTTCAGTCCCACAACAAATGGTTGCTAAAACGACGTTAAATTTTGTATTACTTTTCCAAAAATGATACTTTCTAACTGGGTATTTTTTCAAATTGGTGTATTTTCGAAATAAAAGTATAGTAATTATGGAAAAATATATTAAATTCTATAGGATGACAATATAATACTTAAAACTATAAATTTAATTTTATAAATTTAAAAGTAAATGTTTTTGATTTTTTATAATTATTTAGAAGAATAGAATGCAAATAAAATGTTTAATAATCATTAATGTAATAATCTTAAATAGAAGCAAAAAATAAAGAAAGTACCAAAACAGGAGCTCTTCTCTATGTTTTATTCCTATTTGGGGTAATTTCTTTAACGTTTGTTAAATATTTTATTTACATGATATCCTTTTAAATAATTGTAAATAATTTAAAATGTTACTTTCAAATTTATAAAATTATATTTATAGATTTTAATATTATATTATCATCTTATAAAATTTAAGATATTTTTTCATAATTAATGTACTTTTATTTTGAAAAATGGTCAATTTGAGAAAACACTCAGTTAGAAAGTACCATTTTAGAAAAGTAATATAAAGTTTAATATATTTTCAACTCCATTTTACGACCGTTAGTCAGATTGGGTACCATTCGAGGAATTTGAGGAAATTTGTTAGTTTTGAGAAATAATTTAGAAAACACATAGTTATTGGGTACCATTCGAGGAATTTAATTGCTCTTTATGATATTGTTTGTATGAACAACTTTATACTCTCCCGCCTAAATCATTTACTCTTTACGCAAAACCAAGTAAATTTTCAAGTTTTTTTAATTCATTTATTTTAAGATTGGTATAAAAAATAAAACATATATATTTAAAAAATAAACCAAAAGTTCTACAAAAAAAAATGTGATAAATATATCTTAATTCACCAAATAGTCAATAAAAACACATAAACAAACAAAAATTTTCGCAATTTTTTTTAAAAATAGAGTGTAAATCATTTGGGGACGGATGAAGTAGAAAATTACTCACGGGTACCCTTGATTTTTTTATAATAACTTTCAGGTTTTATATTATCATAACCCTAGATTTTCTAGTAAGAACTCTCAGGTCCCACATTTTCCAAAATATACTTCGGGGGTCCTTAAAACTTATGGTAATGTACTTCGAGGTTACATTCTGCCTATTTACCCGTTATAATTGAAAGTTTTCTTACTATAATAAATATACAAATTCACATTCATAATCATTATTTTATTAATGAATGATCTAAGAGATCTTACTAAAAAATTGAGGGTAACTCAAAGTATATTTTAGATAATATGAGATCTAGGAATTATTACCTCAAAATTGAGGGTACCCGGGAGTAACCCTAAAAATGACACGAGAATGATCCAAGCATCTATAATGTTCTATTAGTAAAATTGATGATTCTTACCCTCTCCTAAACCTCTACTATAGCCTCTATCCATGCCTAGCCTTCCCCTCACCCCAACCCGCTCCCTCGGGGGGAGGGGGGGCTGAGACTGGGATGTGGTTTAAAAAGGGGTTAGCGGGGGGATAGAAACCATCCACTTTACAAATAGGGTGTCCCAAAATGCCCCATAATGCCTGATGCACTTTAAATCAAATTATTTTTTCTAAAGTAAAAAAAAATGCAGTTATCATTATTGTTTTTGTTGTTGTTGTTGGTCTTATTATTATTATTATTATTATTATTATTATTATTATTATTATTATTATTATTATTATTATTATTATTATTATTATTATTATTAAACGGGCGGCTTCTGGGCGTAAATATAAAAGTCAAGTGCAAGTTTGTAATCCCGTGATTGTTATGTGTCTAGTCGAGCAGTAGTGTCTGTTGATGGGTACCCTAGACAAGGAATATCTGACCCCGTTAGAACTTAGAGCCCAACTAAGAGGCTTGAAATGCGAGAAGAGATCTAATTCATTTAAGGGTCTGTTTCATTCAATTTATTTTTTCAATTTATTACTTATTTCTATTAAAATGATATTATATTAAATCTAATAGGATCAGATTCAATCTGATCAGATCAAATTAAACCAAACTAGATCAAATCAGAAACAATTATAATTTGTCTTAAAAAAAATTGATAAGATCTAATAAAATCAAACAAAGAGAACGTAGTCTAAGTGGTAACACTGAGCCTCAACACTCAATCTCTGCACTTGACCCCAACAACCGGCTTCATCCCCTGACCCCTTCAATTGGTGTTGACACTTGGCCTGAACCCTCCTGGCCTAGTACTCGGTGGTCTCAACCTTAGAATTCAGTTGAGAAAGCCTTTAGTGTAACTCGAGGTCGACCTTGTTTAGAATCTTATATATATCAACTGTAGACCCTATAGGAAGGGAGAGTTAGGAAATCTTGAGGGAACCAAGCCTTACCAAGCAATCTAGCAATAGTACTCATAGAAATTTTCTCATTCCACATTTTCACTAACATTTTCTTAGATCTCTCTTTCTTTCTAGAGTCCACTCTCTACACCTTAAGTTCTCATAACCTATCACATGTATACCCAAAATCCTAACCCAATCCCATCTTTTGTGTGTTGAGTACCCGAACCCAAATGGATCTACCCATATGATACCCTAAATTAGTACTCCCTTCTTCCGAAAAAGAATCGTCTTTTATTATTTACGATGTTTGACTAAAGTTATTTTAAATTCAGTTTATTTGAAAATAGTGCGGAATTAAAAAATAAAATTCATATATGGAGTATCTAAAAACTACATAAAAAATTCTACAAAACAAAAGGTAACAAGATTATATTATTATCTCATATGCGTAACAAAAATGAGTCAAAGCGCAATTAAAGTTTGGTCTTATGAATAGAAAAATGAACTTAAATTAAGAGAGAATAAATATTATGACTCACGTGATCTTCTCAATCAATTAGATAAATTATTTGTTCAGTCCATGCCATATATGCCCCCATTGACCACATATCATTTTGGATCTTGTTGCATTGAAAAGGGCACAGTTGCCTCACATGCTCCATTCAAATCAGAGAAAGATCTCAAATTTACATGTAACTTTGTGTGAGAAATGAGAACAAATTTGAGGCACATAGAGTGGACAGTTCTTTTATTTATAATCCCACCGTCCCAAAACAAAATAAAGCTTACACCTTTTACAAAGTAAACAAATTTCGATCATCACAAAAATAAAAATGACATTGCATAACAGTGCAAAAATAATTTCATTCAATTTTTATCGCAAACCACTTTCACAAAATTAATTTGTGGTAATTTTTTAAATTTACAATGTGTCAGATAAAAATGGTTAAATATTCACCTAAAAACCATGAAAGTAGAAAGTCCAAGGTGAAGCATGATTTTTTTTTCCAGAAATGATCACTCACATTATGTACTCAACTGTGAAAGAGTAGCCATCCATTTGGTCAGGGACATTCCAATAATTAGTTAAAAGTAAATAAAATAAATAATACAATTATTATTATTATTATTATTATTATTATTATTATATAGCAAAAAACAGAGCAGAGCTGATTGCTAGAGATTAGCAAGGTAAGGAAGAAGAAGATAGAGGAGTCTTGTAGTGGTGGGCTGCTTTGTCTCTCAGTTCTTCAAATGCCTTCATCGTTTCCACGTCAAAACCACCCGCAAACTGATCAATCAAACGCATTTATATGATCATAATTTACCTTGATAAAAAAGAGGCTTAATAGGGGAAGAATTTATTTTGCAGTAACTTTTTTTTATAGTAATTTTTACCTGGTGTACTCTGAAGGCAAACCTGACACCTTGAACAATTAGCTCTTCTTCGTCGGGACAACCACCAAGCATCTCGAGCTCTGCAGACACCCGTTTCATGTACTTCATCGCCAGTTTAACCGACGCCAGCTTCATCTGTATGTACAATGAAAATGGACAAACCCCATCATAGTCACATTCATTTACTCTGTATTTTTTATTGTATCAAGAAAGTCATAATGGTCAGTTAAAAAAGAACGGAAGAAAGTATATTCCGTGAGGCAACAGTTGATGGAGTTGTATGGCACCACATAGTTCACTGCAAACAAGGTCAATTGCACAATGCAAATTCGTGCCTTTAATGAAGTTTTTCAACAGGGGTAATCATGTCATTATTACTAAAACATGCTTACAATACACGACAAGAGACATAAACAGGTTTTGCACCCGACCGAATTGTGTTGATGAGATTTTTCAGATTTGACATGTGGGCATCCTGTGAATCACATTTTCCATCTTCTGTCATCTATCTAGCCATCACTCCCCAGTCCCCACAGTCCAAATCTCCAATACTCACCTCCCTCTGTCCTAAAACAATTATATTTCATATTGGACTCTGTGATTCTTATTAAGGTAAATTTGTGTTGTAAGATGAGTTTTATTTGGGACAGATAAAAA